CAAGCTGGCCCAGCACCATCGTGCAGCCTTCAGGGCAGCAGGCTGTGGTGGAAGTGGAGGGGCTGCCTGTCTCCTCCCTGTGCCCTCCCTGCAATGGCCTGTGTAATGGCAGTGGCCACACCAAACAGCCAGCTGCTGCCATCACAACCAGTCACTGACCTGTGCCAGCATCCAACCCAGATGTGTCATGCCACATGGCTGGCATGAGAAAGCTTGAGGAATATACAGAAATTTAGACACTCTATACATCACTACTGAGCTAAGCATCAGAGCGTTCAAGAGAAAGGAGAATATCAGTCAGCTATGAATTGTATTTAGTAAGTGATTGCCCCATACTCTCACCACATCCCCCAGTCCTGAACCCCCGTTTTCACTAATCAAAAAACATTACATAAACTCATTAACATATAGCTAAAGATTATTGAACAGACAGACTACTATGAGTTCCTGCAGTGGCCCAGTTCACGGGAACAGATTAATTATGTGTATAAATAAAGAGTAAACTCTATACAGGGGAAATTGATGTGGGGAGTGACTAAGCCTTAATGTAAGTAATAAATATGCAGTGCAGTTTGAGCAGTGCTCAAGAGACCGAGAGAGACAGGTGTGAAGGTGAAATTCTTTTTTTTTTAGACAAAAAGTCTCGCTCTGCTGCCCAGGCTGGAGTGCAGTGGTGCAATGTCGGCTCACTGCAACCTCCTCCTCCCCAGTTCAAGTGATTCTTCTGCCTCAGCCTCCCGAGTAGCTGGGACTACAGGCACGTGCCACCACACCCAGCTAATTTTTGTATTCTTAGTAGAGACAAGGTTTCACCATATTAGCCACGCTGGTCTTGAACTCCTGACTTCATGATCCGCCGGCCTCGGCCTCCCAAAGTGCTGGGATTGCCACGCCCGGCCAAGGCTGAACTTCTTAAGTGATCCTGTTTGGGCAGCGGAGACCAGCAGTCTGAAAACTAGCTGAGCCTACAAAGTAAGAGAAGAGAAGGTGACTCCCAGAGGCCAGTCTTGCTGGGCCCAACTAGTTCACAGAAGGCAAAGGACTGCTTTGAGCACTCCAAATCCAGGTGGGAGAAATCAAGGACTACCAGGTAAAAACCCTGTAGGTTTTTGGTTCTAAAGAGACAGCGTCTCACTCTGTTGCCCAGGCTGGAGTGCAGTGGCACAACCATAACTCACTGTAACCTCAAATTCCTGGGCTCAAGCAATTCTCCTACCTCAGCCTCCAGCGTAGCTGGGACTACAGGCATGTACCAATATGCCCCATTAATTTTTTAAATTTTTCTAGAGATGGGGTCTTGCTGTGTTGCCCAGGCTGGTCTCAAACTCCTGGCCTCAAGCGATTCTCTTGTCTACCTTCTAAAGCGTGGGATTACAGGCATGAGCCACCACAGCCCGTGTGTGTTGTTAACAGACATTTAATTGTACCCATGGAGTATCTGCAGTTCTCTGCTTTGGATTTTGGTGCTCCTCTCTTTCTGTTTAAACAGCGGATAGAGATTTTCTTTATATTAGAAATTGACATGAAACCATGGGTGTAAGGGTGGTTTCGGTCGCTGCCTGCTCTGATCCCAAGGAGCAAACCTTTGGGAAGCTTTGGGAAACCTTTGGGAAAAAGTTGTAAATTTTTCTCCCCCCAAAAGTTCTGCAGCCTCCTCTACAGAAAAGCCACTTGGTCTCCAAAACGTTTCCTGCATTGCTGGGGAAATGCGCCTCTTACCCAGAGCGAGACTGCCCATTGCCTTAAAGGGCAAAGTTTGAACTGAGTGTGTGGTGTGGTGTGTGTGTCGCTCTTTTCCAAGTGGAGAAAGCCCCACGGATGGGCACCAAAGGGAAGAAGACTGCATCTGATTTTCTCGGCTGGCCCAAGCTCTGTGAGGGAACGCTTCGGTTCTGTTGTTTACTTCCCCCCACCGCCCCCCACCTCCTAGTTTTTGTTCAGCCCAGGGAAGCCGCACTGCGGCTCCTCAGATGTTATTTATCTTTTCCTGCGAGGGGCTTGTGACAGTCCAGGGTGTTGTGTATCCTGTGCGATTGTTTATCGCCCGGCCCATGCGGTGGCCTGAGCAGCCTCGCGCCGGCACTTCACGTCCCGAACCCCAGGACTACGTGAGCCGGCGGAGGGCGGGGAGATGGCGCTCGGGCGCCGGCGTGAACCCGGGTACCCTGGAGCCCAGCGCCGTGTCCTCAGGCCCCGGCCCTGACCCCAGGGCGCTCAGGTGGAATAACCCCGCAGCTTCGCGCTGCTCCTGCGCCCCCACCTGCCCCGCGGAAGTCGCCGAAGACCGTCACCCCGACCCGGCGCGCGGCACCCCCAGCCGAGCCCCCCCTCCGGGCACAGATCGGGTCGCACGCGTTGCTCGTATCTGGTCACCCGCGGGTCAGGCCGGCAGAATGGCTGGGCTCGGGGGACACTCCTACGTGCGCAGCCGCCACCCGGCCTGGCCTCCCAGACGCCCCTGGGGTTCGCGCGGGTCAGCCCAGCCCAGCCCTAGCTTGGCGCCGCACTGCGGCCACTGCTCTCCACTCGGCTTAGCGGGCGCTCAGGGCTGGATTGATGGACATGGGGAGCGGGGTGGACAGCGTGCGGGTGGATAGGGGGCGCAGGGCGGACAGCATGCGGGAGGACATGGGGCGCGGGGTGGACAGCGGGCGGGTGGACATGGGGTGCGGGGTGGACATGGGGCGCCGGGTGGACAGCATGTGGGTGGACGGGCGCGCAGGGTGGACTGCGGGCGTGTGGACAGAGGGAGCAGGGTGGACAGCTAGCAGGTGGCTGGGGCACAGGGTGAACAGAGAGCGGGTGGACAGGGGGTACAGGGTGGACAGTTGGCCAGTGGACATGGGGTGCGGGATGAACGGGGGGTGCTAGGTGTACTGGATTGGGTGCAGGGTGGACGAGAGGTGTGGCACTTTCAAGTATGCATTTGCCCTTGGCTAGCTGCGGGTTTGAAACGAGCCTCTGGAGAGACTTTTTATTTTCTTTTCAAAATTTTCCTTTTCTTTTCTATCTTTTTCTTTACCCCCTTTTCTCCCTTTCTTTTTCTTTCTCATTTTTTCTTTTGAAAGTTTTGGACGGCTAGATCTCTTTTGCCACCTCAGGAGCCTGCCAGGGAAGCAGAGGCAGGGCAGGAAGGGACAGTGCCCTCCAGCCCATTCAGCCTCTCTCTCTCTCTTTCTCTCTCTCTCTCTCACACACACACACGCATACATGCACACACACTCATACACACACCACACACGCATTCTATGTAGACACACACACAGGCATTCCCAGACACATCACACACAGACACAAACCAAACACACGCAGCACAGACACCCATCCACACAGACACACTCCCACACACACCACACATAGACACACCTACACAATCTCACAGACATACACCACACATACACCTACCCGCACAGACACCTCACACAGACACACACAACCCTATGGGGAAGGATCAAACAAACGCGCTCACGGGGCCGGGGTCTGTTTTCTCAGGCGTCCTTCCCCATCGCCACATTGTTCGCGGGACAATGGTCTCCTGTGTCAGTCTTGTTGGCACCAGCGTTGTACGATGCAGGAAACAGCATTTCCTGTCGGCGCTGGAAAATTAACTTGGATCGTGCTTTTCCCTTTTTATTGAGAATCAGCACACACCCCGGGAAACCCAAGCTCCCGGCGAGGGGAGGGAGCGGCAGCAATAGACATCCCGAAGGCTCCCGCGGCGTCCGTCCTCTTCCCGCTCAGCTCCCGCTCCCGCCTCCGCCAAGAGAGGAAGCCCCGGCCTTAAACAATGAGATGGGGCTGCTGCCTCAACCGTGACCCTCCTGCTGGGGCCATTGGGACCGACCTTGCCAAGCCTCCTAGCTCTGCATCCATTGGGAAGGGGAACTTGGCAGAAGGGGCTGTCGACTGCCCAGAAACCCCTACCTCTGCAGATGCTAGCTGTCTGCTCAGAGCAGACCAAGCATGGGCAATGGGCTGACTTGTCTAGGTGGTCCTCACATTTGCAAGTCTGACCAGCATTTGGCCCCACAAAACTGCTGGTTAATATTCTCCTATTCCACTAAGTAATTCTATTTTGGTATTGGTATCATTCTGCCCTGAGCTGCTGCATATCGTGTTCCGGGTCTCTTGGAAGAGCACTAGATTGCAAACTCAGAGAGGCAGAAAAGGGTCTATGTCGTCTCTGCATTTTCTGGCCTTAGAGACCTGGGTATTGCACATAGCAGGTGCTCTATCACTAGACACTCTCGCCTCTCCTGGACACCCCTACCTCCATATCTTGTTTCCATTTGCATGCTGGGAACACTGTCATCTGACCGTTGAGCTGTATATACACACAGAATTTGCATGTATTGATACTAGGCATGCGATTTTATGTGTACCACATGTATGTAAACACAGACATGCTATACACATACAACAACATGTGTTTGGTAACCGCAATACCACCACCGTCTCACGCTCCCCACTCCACCCTCGATGAGAAAGAAAATGAAACCATGTGTGAAATCTGTCGTAGAAACGCTCTCCTCATTAATCTCCTTTTGCCACAGACGAACTCTTCAAACATTTTGTGTGTGATTTCAGTTTTGGAAAATGTCACTTCTCATCATATTTTAAACCTTCAATTTTAGAGTTTATCATCATGACCACCAAAAGAGAGAAGGTTGAAGAAGTGCTTTGGGGACTTTCTGCCCTGTACATTGGTAGGGCATAGCCAGTGTAGGAATTAGTGATTGGAATTCGGCTTCTGACCCGTCAGATTTAAATCTTTGCTTTTTGCCTGACCACCCTCAGCTATCCTTCCCATCTTCCCCGGCCACAAGAGTTAGTGGTCTGTATAACAATATTTAAATATTTAAATCCCCTAGGGAAGCACACTAAAAGGAACCCTCTAGGACTCTTTATAAAATGTGAAAATCATCTCCTAATTGCTTCGCTCCCAGTTGCTTAGTCCTCTGTCCTTTGCCCAACAGGATTGAGTCAAGTTAGCGGTAAAAGCCAAGTCCTCTAAGTGCTTCTTGAATGGACGAATGAATGAATGATCATATTCTATTTTTGTTTACATGTTATTCATGTTATTTTATTTATAAGCTAGGGGAAAAAAGAGATTATAGCTCCTGGTCTGTAGAAACAGCTTTGGGGAAAACCAGGTGGCTCAATCCCTAAGTAGTATAAATTGGGCATATCCTAACTGTTTAATATTTTGAATCATGAAAAACGTGGTTCATTCCTATGGTTAGCCAAGAAGAAGTGAGACTTAGAGCAGCAGAGTGTGTAAGAAGACTGTGACATTCACCTTCTTGGGAGAGTTCTCTCTGCTTCTGCAAAATGCTTGCTGCCCCAGAGAGCTGTGTTGCTGTGGCTTTTACACACAATGTGCTACTTTAATTGGAACCTATCGTAGTTGTTATCTTTTTATACATGTGTCCCAACTAGATTGTGAGTCCCTTAAAGGATTGCCTTGTATCTGCAAACCTTGCACTGTTTTGCGCACCTAGAAATAGATCAGTAAACATCTGAGGTTGACCATGGGACTAGCCTGGTCACCCATGTGAAATGAATTCAGAGGTCAAACGTCATGATGGAGCAAATTAAATGATGTCTAATGCCCTCCAGTGGCAGTTTTCCAATGGCATTCCATGGATGTGCTTCCAGGGACCAATGGGGGAGAGTCTTCTACTATAGCAGTTTTAGATTTGGGGTCTAGCTGCTCTGGACAATTTGGCAAACATCTGACTATGAAGAATGACAGCAATGGAAAAAGCAGGTTGCAATCCCAAACCAATGAATCGTGGAGGAAGATATTCAGGAGTGAACTTCCCCTGTCATCAACCCTTATTATTATATCTTTTTTCTAAACATGCTTTATATTCTATGAACAAGAAAGAAGAGAAAACTTTTCAGGAAAGAAATGCTCAGAGCTGGAGGGGACAGGGGAAGAGGGAAGCTTCGAATCCTTTATTCTCAACAGAAATAGCTTCCGTCCCCAGCAGCTCCAGATGTCTGTCTCTGTCTATCCACACACGCTGTTGGCATTTCCACTTCATTTTATTGCTGCCAGCAGAGAGGCAGGTTAGTCCCCACAGTCTTCTCACAAAAAGATTAGCTGAATTCAAATTCAACAAGGAAGAGGCTTACTAAGTTGCATTTCTTTGATAACCTTCGGCTAGGAGGACTCCAGGGCTCCTCAGCGTCCAGCACCTGAGGGATGGTTTCAGCTTGACTTCACCTTGCCTTCTGGTGGGTTATTCACGCTGGCTTACCTTGTGTGGGTTACGACGGACCTTTTCTTTTCTCCACGCGTGGCTGAAACTATCAGGAAAGCTGTTCCTTGTCTCCAGTCAATAGAGGCCAGTAAGAAATAAATCAGTTCAAGGACTTACTGACAGACCATCCCTTGCTACGTGAGGTATCCTCCTCCCTCCCGACTTCTCTACTCGAGTCCTGGACCTCAGATCTCATCCTGGTTTCCTGCCCAGTAATCTTGTTCTAGGGCTGTTGCCAGGTCCCCTTTTCTAGAACCTCCATCCTGAGGCTGGGGCCTGGTTGCTGGTCCCACAGCTGCCCCTGCCTACCATAACACCTTCCCGTGAAGTATGTCCACCCAGATTTCTTAGCGTGCTGCTCTGTCCACATTGTCGGACATCATTTTATTCATCTTAGATTCCTTTTCCCATTGCGGATTAATTTCCTGGACTTGAAAAGATTATGATCAACTGTGGACGCCCCTCTGACATGCGCGTCTTCGGCAGGGTCGCCTCTCCCGGCCTCTGTTCCGCTCCTTGGCTGGGGCCTTCCTCTTTTTCACTTGCTGCCGCTTTTGCAACTGTCTGACCACCTCCCCGTGGGGACCCAGTGGCAAGCTCAAAAATCTCTCTGGATAAAGGTAGATCTATATTAAAAAAAATAATAATCAATAGAGAGTCATAGCTATGGCACCTTAAAAAAAGGAACGTGAATCATAATGAGGTTTGAGATACCGAGGGATGTTTACAATCACCTTGACGGTCTGGGTCTGCAAGGCTAGATTCCTGCGAGTTTGCTTCCTCCTGGAATCCCGCTCACAGTTGAAGCCAGCAAGCTGCAACATTGGAAGCAGGTGAGCGGTCGTACCTCAGATTTGTCAGTGCCTAGATTCTCCCATAAATAAGATTCAGAGTCCAGGAGTATAGCATGCCTTTAATAAATTACACATATAAAAGATGAAGTTCTTCTCTTTTTTAAAAAATTATTATTGGCAGGGCACAGTGGCTCACACCTGTAATCCCAGCACTTTGGGAGGCCAAGGCGAGAGGATCACAAGGTCAAGAGATCGAGACCATCCTGGCCAACATGGTGAAACCCCGTCTCTACTAAAAAAATACAAAGATTAGCTGAGCGTGGTGGCATATGCCTGTAGTCCCAGTTACTCGGGAGGCTGAGGCAGGAGAGAATTGCTTGTACCCAGGAAGTGGAGGTTGCAGTGAGCTGAGGTCACGCCACTGCGCTCCAGCCTGGCACCTGGAGACAAAGCAAGACTCTGTCTCAAAAAAAAAAAGTATTATTTATTTTGAGACAGGGTCCCACTCTTGTTTCCCAGGCTGGAGTGCAGTGGCATGATCTCAGCTCACTGCAGCCTCAACTTCCTGGGCTCGAGATCCTCCCACCTCAGCCTCCTGAGTAGCTGCGACTACAGGCACATGCCACCCCTCCTGGCTAATTTTTTGTATTTTTAGTAGAGATGGGGTTTTGCCAGGCTGGTCTCAAACTCCTAGGTTCAAGCGATCCACCCACCTTGGCCTCTCAAAGTGTTAGGATTACAGGCATGGGCCACCATGCCCCGCCAATGATGTTCTTAATATAGAAACTCAATGGAGTAAACATTCTTTAAAAATCGTAAACATGATTTTTTTTTTTTTTTTTTAGGCAAGGTCTCACTCTGTTGTCCAGGCTGGAATCAGTGGTGTGATCTCAACTCACTGCAACCTCTGCCTCCCAGGTTCAAGTGATCCTCCCACCACAGCCTCTTGAATACCTGGGATTACAGGCACATGCCACCACACCCAACTAATTTTTGTGTTTTTAGTAGACATGGGGTTTCACCTTGTTGGCTAGGCTGGTCTTGAACTGCTGACCTCAAGTATCTACCTGCCTTGGCCTCTCAAAATGTTGGGATTATAGGTGTGAGCCACAGCACCCAGCCAATGAAGTTCTTAATGTAGAAACTCAGTGTAGTAAACATTCTTTAAAAATCTTAAACATCAGTTATTTTTATTTTTTAGGCAGGGTCTTGCTTTGTTGCCCAGGCTGGAATGCAATGGCATGATCTCAGCTCACTTCAATTTCTGCCTCCTGAGTTCAAGTGATCCTCCCACCACAGCCTCTTGAATAGCTAGGCCTACAGGCACATTCCATCTCACCTGGCTAATTTCTGTTTGTTTTCTTTTTTTTGAGACAGAGTCTTGCTCTGTTGCCCAGGCTGGAGTGCACTGGCGCAATTTTGGCTCACTACAGCCTCCACCTCCAGGGTTCAAGCGATTCTCCTGCCTCAGCTACCTGAGTATTTGTGATTACAGGTTCCTGCCACCTCGCCCAGCTAAGTTTTGTATTTTTATTAGAGACGGAGTTTCATCATGTTGGCCAGGCTGGTCTCGAACTCCTGACCTCAAGTGATCCTCCCACCTCTCCTCCCAAAGTGTTGGGATTACAGGCGTGAGTCACCATACCCAACCTAATTTTTGTATTTTTAGCAGACATGGGGGTTCACCATATTGGCTAGGTTGGTGCTGAACTCCTGACCTCAAGCAATCCGCCTGCCTCAGCCTCCCAAAGTGCTAGGATTACGGGCCAGCATCACCATGCCCAGCTTCAACATAAATATTAAAGAGCAGTATGTTAACTCCCTACTGTCAATGGCTTAGAATATTTTGTTTACATTTCTAAATAGCTCTACCCTGTTCTAAGCAGTTTAGGGTCTGCAAATTAGTTTACGCTGATTTTATTACTTAAAACATGATTTAATTAACTAAAACAGCTGGATACAATATAGTAATAAATACAATTCAGTGACCTTGTCACCAATCTGCAGCTGTTTCCAGTCTCTGGAACCACGTATATATTTGAGTTGAAAACACCTTTCTCGCTCACCTCAGACCCCTCTTGGCTTTGGTTTCCAGTCTCCATTGTTCTCCACCAGCCTCCCCTCTGTATTAACTCTGGGTCGTGGTAACAGAAAGGCTGTCCTGCACCAGTGTAGCTGGAGCCACATATTTATACGTCTTCCCTGTCTCACTCTTGCCCTCTTTGTTCCCATCCTGTCTTAGTCCGCTTGGGCTTCTATAAAAAATCACCACAGACTGGGAAGATTAAACAACAAACATTATTTCTCACAGTTGCAGAGGTGGATGTCCCAGACGAGGGCCCAGCATGGTCAGGTCTGGTGAGGGCTCTCTTCCTGGCTTGCAGACGACTGTCTTTTTGCTATGTCCTCACTGGGAGAAAAGAAAGCAAGAGAGCTCTCCGGTCACTTCTAAAGAAGGCACAATACTATGCATGAGAGCTCCACCCTCATGCCCTAATTATCTCCCAAAGTCCCCCCCGCCCTTACCACCACCACATTGAGATTAGAGTTTGAACATAGGAATTTGGGGGAGACACAGACATTCAGTGCATTATGCCTCCCGATGGCCCTGAACAAAGAGGGAGAAACTGCACATGCAGGAAGCAACATGGACACCACAGTTGTCTTCTTGCCAATCAGAAGATTTTGCAGGCCGGGCATGGTGGCTCACGCCTGTAATCCCAGCACTTTGGGAGGCTAAGGCGGTGGATCACGAGGTCAGGAGATTGAGACCACCCTGGCCAACATGGTGAAACCTCATCTCTACTAAAAATACAAAAATTAGCTGGGCGTGGTGGCGCGTGCCTGTAATCCCAGCTACTCGAGAGGCTGAGGCAGGAGAATCGCTCCAGGAGGCAGAGGCTGCAGTGAGCCGAGATCGCGCCACTGCACTCCAGTCTAGGCGACAGAGCGAGACTCCATCTCAAAAAAGAAAAAAAAAAAAGATTTTACATTTTGGCCATGTTTTTTAACTGTTTGCTATTTGATATTAGAGTTTATGTTCAGATATCTAATACGCTGGTATACCCCTCTGAGTGTGTGCACACACACACACACACACAAACATTATCATCACCCCACCTAGGGCAAACCAATTCACAAACTTGACTGAATCAGCAAGATTCAGTCTTTTAAAAATTTAAACCATGAACAGATAGAGGCAGTGAGTTGACAGATGCAGCATTTTAACGGGGACATCCTAATGACTATAGTATCGTCCATTTACAACTTGCTCATCACATTGAGCACCTGCATGCCTTTTTCTTCCCGTCACTCTGTGAGAGATGCACTGTTTTAATCCCTGTGTTGCAAATGAGGAGACTGCAGCTCATGCAGTTGTGTCTGTTGCCAGGATAACCCAGCTGGGCACTGATGGAGATGGGATCCTCAGCTTCCTCGCTTCACGGCTCTAGGTGCTGAGGTCACCCAGGCTCCCCTTTGGGAAGCCACTTGCAGGTTTTCCGGGATCCTATGATATCTAAATCTCAGCCACCCTCACTTCCTAGGCACTTTGTTTATCTGGTTGTTTTGGTCTCCACTTGGCATCGAAGTCTCCTCAGAGCTCTTGTGGAGAATCTGAAGCCTACCTTGTCTCAGGAATTAAAAATTCTTTTTTTTTTCTTTGAGACAGAGTTTGGCTCTGTCGCCCAGGCTGGAGTGCAGTGGCATGATCTCAGCTCCCTACCACCTCCGCCTACTGGGTTCAAGTGATTCTCCTGCCTCAGCCTCCTGAGTAGCTGGGACTACAGGCACACGCCACCACGCCCAGCTAAATTTTGTATTTTTATAGAGACGGGATTTCATCATGTTGGTCTGGCTGGTCTCAAACTCCTGACCTAGTGATCCACCTGCCTCAGCCTCCCAAAGTGCTGAGATCACTGGTGTGAGCCACCGTACCCGGCCAGGAACTAAAACTTCTTTTACAGTCTTCTAATTTTATAGATAAAAACATAAAGGCAAATTTAGAAAAGAATTTTGTGAAATGAAGACATCTCCATAAGGGTAATTCTCAAGAAGTTAGACAGAGGGCCAAGTTCAAGAGCTCTAAGGTACCACATGGTGTCTATAGTTAATAACAATGCAGGGTACATACCTTGACAGTTGCTGAGAGACTAGATTTTAAAAGTTCTCACCACAAACAAATGGTAAGTACGTGAGTGAATACATATGTTAATTAGCATAATCTAACCATTTTGCAATGGAAACGAATTTCAAAAACTCATGTTGTACATCATAAATATATACAAGTTTTGTCAGCAAGAATGTAAAGAAATAAAAAAATAAAGAAAATTCCACAGATGAGTGAGAAGATGAGTAACTGTTGCTCATGTAACCGAATTCAACAAAGTTGGTAGAAAAAGGTTATGAATGAGAATTGAGGGTACATGCCATCTATAAATAGGGAGACTATGGGCAGCTTTTAAGTTGCTAGATTACTCAGCACTTTTAGGTTTCTCTTCCTATTTTCATTTGTGTCACTGCCCTCTGATTTTTTTAAACACATAATGATATTTTGTAACATTTTAACTTACGGTAGTAATATCTTATAATTTATAGACCCTGGGAAATAGTAAACAAATTGTGCCTCAGATTTCTGTTAATTCTAAAAATAGTGGTGAGTCAAGTTTGTATTGCCCTTAAAATAGTGAATTGAGAAACTGTAGGTTGACTGAAAAAATAGGTCAAAAAACTTTTTTACTACACTTTGTTTTTTAAGAGCACTTTTAGGTTCACGTCAAAATTGAGTGGAAAGCACAGAGATTTCTTAGATACCCTCTGTCCCAACATATGCATATAATTTTAAAATAGAAGAGGTTCCATTAATGTAGCATTTTTGGTAAATTTCTGTTAAAACCGTTGGTGTAATTCCTAGGCACATGAATTTCACAGAAATACAGTTGATAGACTTTTGATCTAAACTATTCAAGAGAAAAGACCATCTACTGAGTATTTGAGGATCTTGGAGGACAAATGACTAATAATAGGCACTCCTCTATTTCTTGAACGGATAATCAGCCTAATCAGGAAGTCATTTTTATCTCCTAACTTAATGCCATGGTCACCTTTTAATAGCATCTCTTTGGGATGGAGAATGCATCCGTGTCTTCCTGGCAATAATTTTCCAGATGTGACTGCTTAGCGCACATGAGGATAAAAATGCCAAAATGTGCCTAGCACTCAATCTGCCCAGCTCGAAGTGCTCATACCAATTACCCTTTATGGTATTGGCTTCACTATAAGGGAAGCATTCCCGGGCTCTGGGTCCAACAAAAGCATGGCAGAGGACAAGGAACTTGCACTTGACTTCTTGCTCTGCCACTTACTTGTGCACGATCCTGTACAAATCACTTCACTTCTCTGAGACTCAGTTTTCATCATCTGCTAAGTTGTGCTTATAGAATTCCTGGTTTGGTGGTAAGGACGTAGATGGTTGTTCACATCGTTATCCATAATATTCTTTTATTTATTTATTTTTGAGACAGTTTCACTCTTGTCGTCTAGGCTGGAGTGCAATGGCACAATCTTGACTTGCTGCAGCTTCTGCCTCCTGGGTTCAAGCAATTCTCCTGCCTCAGCCTCCCAAGTAGCTGGGACTACAAGTGCACGCTGCATGCCCGGCTAACGTTTTGTATTTTTAGTAGATGGGGTTTCACCATATTGGCCAGGATGGTCTTGATCTCCTGACCTCGTGATCTGCCCGCCTTAGCCTCCCAAAGTGCTGGAATTACAGATGTGAACCACCACAGCCGGCCTGTTATCCATCATATTTTTCAACATCAACTTACTTTTGGAAACATGCCCTATACAACCTTTCAGACCAAGGCTCTGATGTTCTGGTCAATACAGAGCATCGATGAGTTATTTGACAGCGCTGTCCGTGGGATGAACTGCACTCAGCCAGGCTCCCTCTGCCTTGTTTCCCATCACTGAGGTCCACGCTGAGAAGAGTTTTGGGGTGAGGGGTGTCATGTTGTAGGATTGCGTGCTACTGGTTTGGCGTGCCTAGTACCCTCCTCCTACAATCATGTGATCCACTGTTATAACTTACGTTCCCCTCAATGTTTCCTAGGTCTCGTAGCTTAATTTGGGATTAAAAGGTTGAGGATGGGAATAGTCTGAGTTGCTCAGTGACCTCTCCTTTGAGAGAAATAGCCTTCCAGCATCCATCCTGCCAGAGTAGCCTTGGTCATAAAATTTCCACCTTCAAGTTTCATGGTGAAGACATGCTGAGGAAATGTCTATGATCAGACACTCTTCGCAGCCTTGTGGTTTTGAATCATATCCATATTATCTGCTTTATGGAGGAATCCCAATTATCTCCGCCATCTTCAACCAATAGAGCTAGCCGCTTGACCATTTTACTTACCCATCTGTGGAGTTCCGCCTACATGATTTGCAAGGCCCCGTGCAAAATGAAAATGCAGTGCGTCCACGCCCCACCCCCCAAAAAAAGGCATTAAGAATTTCAAGATGGCGGCTGGGTGTGGTGGCTCATGCCTATAATCCCAGCACTTCGATTGGCCAAGGCAGGTGGTCGGGAGTTAGAGACCAGCCTGACCAACATAGAGAAACCCTGTCTCTACTAAGCAAATACAAAAATTAGCTGGGTGTGGTGGCGCATGCCTATAATCCCAGCTACTTGGGAGGCTAAGGCAGGAGAATGCCTTGAACCCGGGAGGCGGAGGTTGCGGTGAGCCGAGATCACACCATTGCGCTCCAGCCTGGGCAACAAGAGTGAAACTCCGTCTGTCTCAAAACAAAAAAGGAAAATAATTTCAAGATGGCAACAGCCGAGCATGAAACCAAGTATGGAGTCCTTCTGAGCATGAGACTCTGTGAATTGGACAATTGCATGCCCCCCAAGCAGGCTGTGCACCTGTGGATTTTCCCTTGATGTCTGTGTCTTTCTTGGAGATTTATCAAGGGCATTGTTGATGATAATATTTCTAGTAAAAATTTTATTTTAAAAATAATGATAAGCTTTCTTTTTAAAAATTCCAGTATGTTTTCTGGCATTTTGTTTTTCTGAGCCAATCAATTGCAACTTCTTTTTTCTAAATATCAGAGTACATCTTTTTCTGTTCTCTTAGTTATTGTACAGTGAAATAGTCTCCAAATTATCTTATCGCTCTGTATTCTTCTAAAAATATGGATATCAAACAATATGTAGATATGCCAAGAAGCCTAACAAGAGTTCAAGACAGAAGAATCATCAGTCAATTGATTGAAGCATGAAAATGGATTATTTTTCCACAAAAGAAGGAACAATTAACAGAGTGAAGAGACTGTCTATGAATTGGAAGAAAATATTTGCAAGCCATACATTTGAAAAGGGATTAGTATCCAAAATATATGAGGAACCCAAACAACTCTATAGAAAGAAAACAAATAATCTGATTTTAAAATGGGCAAGAAACCCAAATAAACATTTCTCAAAAGAAGACATACAAATGGCCAAAAGATACATGAAACAATCTGTATCATCTCTAATCATTAG